TATTAGTAAAATATTACTCTATTATTATTAGCAAAAGTATTTTTAAAAAGCAAATCCACTGGAAAATCCCTTATGACACTGATGTATCCTGTCCTAGAAAAGGGTAAAACTGCTGTCTGCAAGGCATTTGAGAGAACATGTGATATGGACAGTTGGAGGATGAATGCATTTCACAGCATTTACTTTAAAAACCTATGGCAGGCAGAAGTACAGTAAACAGTTTCAAGAGGTAATTCATCATAGACGCTTTCCTGATGACATGTGCTCAGTAGAAATCAACTCCTTTGTTCACCCTTCATGTATGGTTAAGAGAAAAATATTGTTTATGTATAGTCGGAAAGAAATAGTAACAGAGTTTGTCTAGGTCACAAAAGATCAACTACATGAATTAGTAGACTGCAATTCCAGGCATTAGCTCATACAAATATTTTGTTTAAACTGCCATTTAAATTTAGTTTGATGGAAATAAGAAACAACTACATTCCATCATTTAAAAATAATTATTTATATAAAAACTTCAGAACTCCTCAACTGAATCACAATATAAACTGTTCTCTTGCATCAGACATCCCCCCCAAAACATGGTTTTAATCATTATGGTGTTAATGTTTGAAGCAGCTCAGGATATGAAATGATCACCTATTTTTATATAAAAAGAAAATTACTAGGAGTAAATATGGTTTGAGCACAGCAAATTAAAAAGGTCTGATGCAATTATTTGCTGCCTATATAAAAAAGACACACTATAAACAGTGGGCTAGAGCCTTGATTACAGTATTTTTCTAGTCATATAAAGCATGTACAATAACAAGATGAGGAAAGAATGGGTAGTCTAAGTGAAAGAACTGAATAACATGGTAAAAATAAAAAAGAGAAACAGTATGCTGAAAAAAGGTAATACTACCTTAAGTAAATCAAAGTTCTCATTTATTTTTAAGAGCTAATGTAAAGATTATCCCAGTTTTAGAAAGAAAAGGTTCTAGCTGATTTAATGGCACTCAGACCAGAAAAACATGAAAACTGTGCTGATGTTAGACCTAATTTCAAATTATAATTATAAAACTAAATTTCTCAAACTTTCAAACTTAAATTTTAAGCAAACTGTGATGTAGATGCAGCCCCCCAGTTACTGAGAGCGGGCAGAGTAGACTTCAGACCTGCTAGTATGCTGTGGAAAAGGTCAATTCGTGGGGGAAACTGGTATTTTGGTAGAACTATAAACTGTCTTCAGTTTTATCAGCCTAGGATTTATTTTTCATACTGTGATAATTTTCTATTTAAGTACAAAGGACAGGAAAATAATCCACAAAGATAACTTTCCAGGAATCTCTAAATTTTTTATTCAATCATCTAACAGGCTGGGTCTATTGCTCTTTGATTATTCTTAAAAAATAAAAAAATAAAATAAAATAAAAAGCTACTCTCTCCTCTGCACCACTTATATTTTATGTCATTGTGTTTTGACTTCTCAGAGAAGCCAATATTATATAAAAATGAGCTATTATAGTAAATCTTGAAATTATTTAGGCACAGAACAGTCATTAGTTTCATCCTTATGTTCCAAAACAATGACTGAAGAGTGGTGGTGCTATATTTGATGGCCTTGGTGCCTGTGAAACACACAAGGTTTTATATACAGATGTGAGTTCCTGTGTGTTAAGCAATGTTCACAAGTGAGGTACGTCATGCTTCCCCCTTCTCACAGATTCAACTTCTTGCAGACTCAACTATTGCTACCCATCACAAACTATGAAGAGACCTTCTTCCCATTCATCCAACCCCTGAATTTTCTGTGGATGGAGATAGCACAGTCTACGGTAGGGTTTAAAAATCTCCAGGTGATTCAAAATTTAATGATAAGGTATAATGGTGCTTAAATGAAGTTATCAACCACCATGTGAGTTGTCACAGAGACCAGGATTCAAATCATGGTGCCACCACATCACATAACCCCAGCCAAATTATTTACCTCAGTCTCCTTATGCAAAGTGGTAATAACAACACCCTGAATAAATATTTTGGTGATTAGATGTAAATTACATAAACCTTTTACCACAGTGTCTGGCTAGCTAACACAGCAGTTAGTTACTGAACAGTGATCTTCCCAGTGACAAAATACAGTATTCAGAGGAGAATTTAAAAGCAATTTATCCAGTTAGCTTAGTTGATTAGAGTGTGATGTTATAATACCAAAGTCAAGGGTTGGGATCCCCATACCGGCTAGCCACCAAAGTAAATAAATAAATAAATAATAAATAAAATGAATTCACTAAATGGTCATTTACTGGAGCCTTAGAAAAAGATCTAAGCACATCATAATTAGAAAATAATGTACTATAAACCATAACATAAAAAGCCTTAAAAACCATAAAGTTCAATATAGTAAAGGCTCTCAATTTAAAATTTTAATATTGTTAACAGAGAAATTTAACCTATACATCATAAAAATAATAAAATCAGTGAACTATTACTTCTTTAATATCAGTTAAAAAGCATATAATATTGGGTGTGCTAAAAATGTAATTTTTCTCAAACTAGATCTACAAGCAATACTGATAGTATTTTAAATATTCTTATAATCACCTCTACGAAGGCCAAGCTCATTTTTGTTTTAAAAGAAAGTTCAATGTAAATATCTCATGTAGTAAATACAATTCATGATTATAAACATCTACATACCTAACCTTTTCCCAATGAACATAGTGCTTCTAAATATGATTTTCTTTACTCTGCTTATTGTTTCACTTCTTGTAATTCACTTATAATCACTCCTTATATATTCCTGTTGCCTTTATTCTTTCATTTTAAATTTCTCTTCAAGGACACAAGAAATGCAAAGATACCTTATGTTCTTGGGTTGGAAGAACAAACATCATCAAAATGTCCATGTTACCCAAATGCCTATTGTTACACAATGCCTATCAAAACACCAATGCCATTCTTCACAGAAAAAGGAAAAACAAACTTAAAGCTTGTATGGAACCATAAAAGACCCTGTATAGCTAAAGCAATCTTGAACAAAAAGAACAAAGCTGGAGGCATCACACTTCCTGTCTTCAAAATATACCATAAAGCTATAGTAACCAAAACAGCATAGTACTGGCATAAAAACAGACAAATAAACCAACAGAACAAAATAAAGAGGCCATGCACTTACAGCCAACTGATTTTCGACAAAGGTACCAAGAATATACAGTGGGGAAAGGACAGCCTCTTTGAGAAATGGTGCTGGGAAAACTGGATATCCACATGGAGAAGACTGAAACTAGACCCCTATCTCTTACCATACACAAAAATCAACTCAAAACGGATTAAAGACCTAAAGTTAAGATTCAAAACTAAGAAACTACTAGAAGAAAACATAGGAGAAACGCTACACAAAATGGGAGTGGGCAGCACTTCTTTGAGACTACAAAGGCACAGGCAACTAAAGCGAAAATATACAAATGGGACATCAAACTGAAAAGCTTGTGCACAGCAAGGGATGCTATCAACAAAGTGAAGAGACAACCTACAGAATGGGAGGGAAGTATTTGGAAACTACACATCAGATAAGGATCCAATATCCAGAATATATAAGGAACTCAACTCCACAGCAAAAAAACAAATAACCCAATTAAAAAATGGGCAAAGGACCTGAACAGATATTTCTTTAAAGAAGACATACAAATGGCCAATGAACACATGAAAAAATACAAATGGCCAGCAAGCACGTGAAAAAAATGTTCAAAATCACTAATCATCACGGAAATGCAAATTAAAACCACAATGAGATATCATTTCACTCCAGTTAGAATGGGTATTATCAAGACAATAACAACCGCTGATGAAGATGTGGAGAAAAGAGAACCCTCCTACATTGTTGGTGGGAATGTAAATTAGTACAGCTATTGTGGGAAACAGTATGGAGGTTCCTCAGAAAACTAAAAATAGCACTAACTTATGACCCAGCACTCCCACTACTGGGTATATATCTGAATGAAATGAAATCAATATACTGAGGAGACACCTGCATTCCCATGTTCACTGCAATGCTATTCACAACAGCTAAGAGATGGAATCAACCTAAATGTCCATCAACAGATGAACGGATAAAGAAACTATGGCATATATACACAATGGCATACTATTTAGCTATAAAAAGAAATGATATCCACGTCATTTGCAGTAACATGCATGGAACTAGAAACAATCACATTAAGTGAAGTAAGTCAGGCACAGAAAGACAAATACTGCATAGTATCACTTATATGTGGAATCTAGGGGGAAAAAAGTGTTCTCATATAAGCAGAGTACAACACTGGTTACCAGAGGCTGGGATGGGAGACAGGGAGAGGGGAGAAGTGGTGGACTAATGGGTACAAAACTATGCTATCTACCCTAGGTGAATCACTGTGCCCTCTGTGCATGTATTGAAAAAACACACTGTACCCCACAAATATGGACAAATAAATGTTAAAATTAAAAAAGTAAAATTAATTACTCTTCAGTTGAATAACAGTTAATCGTCAGACTCTTAGAGTCCTGCTCATTAAATTTAATCTGATTCATGCTGCAATAACAGTCTGACTGAAGACAACCAAATTTATTAGATGTACAGTCTAATAATAAATGATTGATCATTTTCAGCTCTGTTATTTTTAGTGAAATTATATAGCAAACCATTAAGTTCTTTATCAAGAGAACAAAAGCAAAAAGTAAAACTACCCATACAAATATTACTTACTAGCACCATCTGTTTATCTGTGATTACACAGACTCTGGCACAGGATTATACACAGTTAAAATAGTTTCCTAAGGAATTTATAATGAGTAGACTAGACTGTACTTATTTAATAATACAAAGAACTGGAGGAGAATAGTTTTATCTAGATAGGCAGAGATTCCATTTTGTTACAAAAAATTTTTTTAAATAATACTTTATTCTGCTCAGTTAAAACAATACCATCCTAAGTACACTTCTTATATCAGAAATCTATGTATACAAAATTTAACCATACCTTCAAAGACATCTGTCATTTTGCAGATATGGGCAAATGTGGCTCCAGTTGCCCATGTATAAACTACATCCATTAAGTGAGGTTTGAATGAGCTTAAATAAATCTCCTCATCAATTTCCAATTTGGCTTCTGCTGAAACTTTTGCAATTCTTTTAGCACATTCCTTTAAAGGTAAAAGATATACTTAAAATTCCTTACTTATGATCTCCCATATCCCTTTCTTTTCAGGTTTTCATAGCCAATATTCCACGAGGTCCCTTTTTCTTCCTAGGTATTATGTCTGCAATGTGGATATTCTGCGTTTAAATGGGCACAGTGCTTGTCCCATTGCTAAGTGATCAAACAGCCAAGCTTTCCCATTATGTTGAAGTGGTTAACTAAGAAAAATATATTAAGAGCGTGATTTTCAGCTCTACAAAAAAACAGAACACTTCATTAAAAGTATTCAAGAACAGCTTTTCAGTAATATCTAATTGTTTCATTAACAAAACAAAGACAATAACAAAACAAATTTAGAGAAATACAAAATATTTTAAATGCTTAAAAAACATAAATCTTAATATTTTCTTTTCTCCACAATGAGAAACTTAGATCCATTCTTTTCTACTAGACAATCTAAAAGGTCAAAAACTCCTAGGCCCATCAAGACATCCCAGACTCTGGAAGTTTAAATTTCTTAGAAAAAATATTAAGGGATGTTAAAGGTTCCATTGAATGGGGCCTTTTTTATAATTCATGTTTTATTCCTCTCTTGTAATGCCTTAGCTCATCTTTCCCTGTCTAACCTTAAAAAAGTAGATAAAATCAATTCATCCTAAGAAAATAATAATCAACACAGATTTATTACTATGAACTACAGTAGCTTTGAGGGCCCAGAGATAGATAATTTATGATAAAACAGATTTTAAAACTTTGTTGTAAATTAGCATGGAAAAATGTGCAAAAAACTTAAATACTAATCCACCAGATGCCATTCTTAATACTGAAGAAGAAAATGATGCAAACACTGAACTGTTGGTATAGCCTCTCCACATCATATGTAGTTTTATATCTACACTCACAGAGACTCCATATAAATCACTACAAAGAGGGGGAGAATGCTTAATTACTAAAATAAAAATAACAAAAGATACTACCAAATTAGCATTAAATGACATGACTGACATCCCAACGGAAGTTACCTCCGAAGAATGATAAACTATGATTAGACTGTCAAAAATGTTTATTTTACCACCTCCTATTCATAAGATATATAGCTCAAAAAAATCCTACCTGCATTTGACGAAGTGGTCCTGCTAACTGCTCAGTTAATTTGGGCATCTCACTAGACTACAAAAGAAAAGGAAAAATAGGTATAAAAATCCAAGTTTAAAGTAATAGTATATACTATCTGCTTTAACAAATGAAACAAAGCTTTTATGATATCTATTAATATCATAAGACTCTAGTTATTAGCATTTAGAGTTTCTTTTCCTCTTGTCCTAAGTTATAATATTCTCTTATTACATTTCAGAGGAAAATATTACACTGCTAAATTAGCAAAGTGTGCTAACTAGCTATTTCCTGTGACTATAAATGGAACTGAGGGAGAACAAATATGTAAACACAGTAGTTTAGTTACATCAACATTATAAACAGTTTTATCATAGTTTAATTTTGAAACAGTTTTAGCTTCTAGGCAACTGTCAATCTATAAAAACTAAAAATCTGGGATAAAGAACATTAAAACTAATGCTCCGAATTTTTATTTTCCCCAGATATTTCTTTTTTTTTTTTTTTCCCTTTTTGTCTTTTTTCGTGTCCGGCAACGGATCGCAACCCTCAGTGTCGCGCCCGTACCGGACCGGGACCGGCAACGGGATCGCAACCCTCGGTGTTGCTCCCACACCTCGCTCAGCCAGTGCGCGGGAACCGGTCTGTATGTGGGATCCGAACCCTCGGCGGGAGCGCCACCGCGCTCGCAAGCAGCGCACTGTAGCAGTGCGCCACCGGGCTGGCCCTTCCCCAGATATTTCTAGATCTTTAACCAAGTATAAGACAGTTAAAAGTTTAGTCTGAGTTTCAGTATTCTTAACATTGCTTTCCCAACTAGTAAAAAGTTTGTCCATTCTTTAATTAGATAATAGAATTTCAGGTCTATCATTAACTAGCTAAATGAACTTGAACAAGCTGCTTAAATTCTGTGTGTTGGTTTCTCGCCCTGTCAAAGAGAAATAATAAAGCCAGATCCTCAAAACTGATGGGCTCATCATGAGAATAAAAGATATTGTTTGTGAAGGAATTTTGAAAAAGGTAAGAGTTACTATGCAAAAATAAAATTATTATAAAAATGATATGAATGTGTGTGACAGAATTTAAAGTAATTACAGGTAAGTTTTTAAAAAAGCATCTATAGGTTAGTTGCAATGCATCTGCCTTTATTTTAAACATCAGTAGTTATACAGGACTTGGTTTTGATTTGCATCAAGTATATATGTATATTTTGTAACAAGCCAGCTTCTACTATTATTCCTGTTAAAACCAAAAATTATTGAATGATAAAAAAAGCAGAATGGCCAGAAAGAACTTAACATCTTAGTTTAACAAAGAATGCAAGACTGCTAAATGTCTTTAATACTGTATCTATTCATGGTCAACAGTAACTGATCACCTACCTCTTTGCCAGTCACTATTAGATAGAAGGCACTGGTCTTGATATAGTGCGGCTAAGTGTGATTTTACCCAATGCTCTCCCACCAGGTATGTGCATGGTTTGTCCCCCATCTCTCCTTTAGGTATCAATTCAAACTGCAATTTATAGTGAGGCCTTTTCCAATCATCTCATTTAAAATAATAACCCCATCCCACCAGTGATCATTACCTAACTCTTCTACTTAATTTTCTCCAAAATCTTCATCACCATTTTACAGCTTATGCATGCATTTTATTTCTTTATCTTCATCCACTAGCATATGAGTATCATGAAAGCAAAAATTTCTGTTGTATCTGAAGCACCTAAATCTGTGTACTGCACACATTGGGTATGTAATAAATATCTGTAGATACTTTATGTTTATATTATAAAGACTGTGATCTTTAAATTACTTTTAATGTTACTAAAAAATGTGGGGGCACAGTTTTAAAAATGCATTTTTAAATAGAAGTTAGTATATCAAGCAAACTTCATCTTACTTATGACAAGTACCTTACTATATTTACTCTTCTTTCTGGCTAGAAAACATTCTGTTAAAAGTATCAAAAAAAATTCCATATGACTTTTAGTACAATTTTCCATCTCAATGTTGAAAAGCACCACCACAAGAACTGATGACAGTGTTTGTTGTTTAACTGAACAAATCTTAACCGCATATAGTGAGTGACATCTTGCCCCAAGATTTAAGAGTTGTGGTTTGCTAATACCCAACTCTTTTAAAGAAGAAAAACCTGCCTCTCAAAAGACAGGATTATCGTAATGACACAGTAAAAAAAAAAAAAAAAAAGCATAATTCAAGAAATTAGCCATAAGACAAAGACTGACATGGGCAGAGGATTACCAATCCCCAGTCTCTAAGCCCTATTAGATCTGTTCAGGGGGGGGGGTGTCGGTGACGGGCCATAATAATCATATACAGTGTATATTGACAAAAAAAAAAAAAAAAAAAAAAAGCATAATTCAAGAAATTAGCCATAAGACAAAGACTGACATGGGCAGAGGATTACCAATCCCCAGTCTCTAAGCCCTATTAGATCTGTTCAAAGGAAATTTGACAAATGTCCTTAATTATTATCTTGGAAACTGATGTAATAAAATTTTCAACCTAAGAAAAATAACAGGCAAACATAGTATTTTGTAAAGTAATGCATTACTCTTGTATATAAATTATTCACAGGTGCATGGCAGGTAATATCAGGAGGACATAAACTGTTTTTGGATTACTGTCCTATTTATTATCATTGCCACTATAGCTGTAATTTTAACAGTAACCAGGGATCTGGGGAGAAAAGTATCCACCTACTTTAAGAAGGAATATATTTGATCTCATTAATAAATAAGGAAATAGTTAACAGGTAAACAGAACAATGGCAGAACTGAAAAAATAATTTGTCTAACATAACTCACTTGAAAGTTAAACTATACAATAAAAGGTCTTCTAAAAATTAAGATAATATTAAATTATTTCTAGAAGGCAAATATCCTTGACTTATGCTCATTCTATCCACTTTATCCACAATGAATAAAATCTTAAATCTTAAACGTGACAAAATACGTTTTACTTTTTAAAACAAATCATATTAGTTTCTAGAATGCAGTACAAGGTTAATTATTGTTCTTGTGTGTTCCATACAGCACTTCATTTTTTGATTTCTTAAGAAGTGTTGAAAATGAATTGACCACGCACATGAAAAAAACGACTGCTAAACCAATAAGAATCTGCTGGCCACTACCTCAAACCCTGCCCATGAAAACTAAGACTTCCGTCTCTAGTAGAATCAGCTGCTTCACAATTATCCTCCATATTGGCGGCATGGGGGTGTTAATTCAACCTCATTATCTCCTTCATTTTTATTAGATTTTCCTAATTTTACTTTCACTCATCTTTTTTCTTTCTAGGACTGTCTGACTAGGCCAGACATTCAAACAATGAATTGGGTTATAGAACAAATTTAAAATTTAGCATCTGATTAATGATGACTGTTCACAAAGAAATCCTACTTTATTCTCCTTTCTGATAATAAACATTTAATTATTTAATTCTTTGTGTTTAAAGTTGCATTGATTTCTCATTAACATTAGCCATAATAAGTAAACATAAAGTAATATTTTATAATTTAAAATATCCATAATACTATTAAAACTAAACTACATGATTCATGAATAAGATATGTAAATCTATTCACTTACATTCTCTTGAAACACAAAGCAGCTTAATAATGCCGTTGCCTGTTCTGCAGAAAGGTCATTGAAAAGGCCATTAAACATCATCTCAGTTAGAAGGAGCTCATCAGCACTATAATGCCATAAAAAAGAGAATAAATTTCAAATGTCAGAATATAAAGACACACATGTGCACACATACATCCTTAACATGTAGTTTTTTAAAAAAACAAACATGTAATTTTTAGTAAAATGTATTATTTTACCATGAGGAGTAATTAATGAAGAGTGACAAAGATTTATTTAAGAAAATGGTAGGTCTTTATATTTAGCAATGTATAAATAATAAATGTAAAATGGGCATTTCAAACAAAGATCCCAAATACCAAAATGCACATATTCATTATAATAAAGAACTATTTCTTAACTGTTGTATACCAGGAAAAATAGTCATCACCATTTATTATCTGGGTCTAAAAGACTCTCTTAATTATTTTTAGCTTTAAGTAATTTTACAAATAATTTATAGAATAAAGCGATAATGAAAAACCAATTTATTAGAAATCTTAATTAGAATGTACCCACAGAAAACCCACATTTGACTCCATATTTTCCCAGTGTTGAAACTGTACAAGATTACTAAGATGGGCAACGGCCTCTGAATCCAACAAACTGCTTCTCAGTCATCTATGAACCTGGAAACTATCCAGTTGATAAATATGATTCTAGATTTCAAATATATCCATTACAGATACTAGTTTATCATTCTGTTTCTTCTTATACTTGCATTATAAAAATTTACTACTGATTCCAGATTTCAAATACATCTTTTTTTTTTTGGTCCTTTTTGTGACTGGTAAGGGGATCGCAACCCTTGGCTTGGTGTCGCCTGCACCACGCTCAGCCAGTGAACGCACCGGCCATCCCTATATAGGATCCGAACCCACGCCGGGAGTGCTGCTGCGCTCCCAGTGCTGCACTCTCCCGAGTGCGCCACGGGGTCGGCCCAAATACATCTCTTTTTTAAGTTCTAGCTTATTACTTCTGGCTCCTCTTTTGCCTCATCAAAACTTGTGACATTTAAGTTAAGGAGGACAGAAGTAAGTTGGCTCTTAAGGCAGGAAACATTCCTCACAGTAGGAAATAACTGAAGAATTTTTTGGACAGTGTTGTAAATTGTATTTTCTAAAGATGGCCACAAAAGCATTACTTATTTCACATGTTCTTCTAGAACTGCACTGATTTATGTAGACTGCTGTGTGCACATGTGGCCATTTCAATTAAAATTATACAAAATTTAAAATTTAGTTCCTCATTCTCACTAACCATGTTTCAAGTGCTAAACACATGTGGCTTGTGGCTACTATAACAGATCAGTGCAGATATAGAACATTTCCATCATCACAGGAAGTTCTACTGGACAACAGCCACTTCCCCATCAATAGGTAGAGTCTAATATTCCTCCACTTGAATCTGGGAGTGTTTATGACTCATCTGTAACTGAGAGAATGTGGTGGAAATGACGCTGTATGATGTCCATGCAAGGTTACAAAAGGTAAAGCTAGATCAGAAAAGATGATGCAAGTTCCACCTTAGCCTGCTAGAATGATGACACTGGAGCCTTGAGCCTCCATGTAAGCAGCCCTACCACCCTGAATCTGCCATACTGTGTAGAAGCCCAAACTAGCCCACACAAGCCAAGACATGAGAGGGAGGGAGGGAGGGAGGTGGAAGAGGGAGAGGGGGAGGGGGGGAGA